ACTGGGCATGCCTTTTCCAGTTTGGGTCTCCACAGGGGTCATGCAAGGAAGACAAGCAAGACCAGCACTGATGTGAGCTTAACATGGTTTTGCCTTGTGTGTAATCTGACCTGACTGCAGGTCGCCACTATCAGATCAGCCTGTCCTTTCCCTCACCTGCATAATTTCACCACATCCCTTGCATTGGATCTGATGATCACAGAGCTGCAGAGTGGGTCAGGTCACAGCTAGCCTCTTCTCTTAAGAAATTCAGTCTCACTCAGAGCAACCAAATGAGCACTGTCAACAGTGCCACATGATCCAGTTCGTGGGAATGGGGATCCCATGGCTTAGAGCAGGATGACAGGAGTGGAAAGATCAGCATGCTTCCTTTGGATGTTGGCCAGTAGTTAGATGAGGGGAGGCTAATGTGCAATTGCACCCTAAATAATCATTAGGTCCTATAGCCTAACATAACACTGGCTATACCGCCCTGCAAAGGCCAGGAAACACATTCTTTGACTACTCTATAGAGTCTGCAATTTTAATTTTCATTGCATGTTAATCTTATTAAAATACTGAAATTACCTACTGCTGTAGATAACCAGCTCTTTACAGACTGGTCCTGGTCCTGGCATTCATGGACTTAGTGTAAGAATATTGCGGGTCAAATCCTTAGCTAGTATCTTAGCTGAGATTAGACCACTATCTCCCAGAAGCTGCTCAATGTCTTTAAAAATGCCTCCTGTCAGCTACCACAAGAATGGGAAGACCCAAAGTAGGATTGCTTCTTACTATGAACAATGTGAGTTCTTTCTCCAAGTAAAATGCAACTGTAGGAGGAAAATAATCAGCACAGTAAAACAAAGTCTTCAGATATTTTCTTATCATGATCTTCATCACCTCCTTTTGCAGATGTCAATGATAACGTTCCATTCTTCATGTCTTCTAACTATGAGGTGTCTGTTCCAGAAGGAGCTGATGTTGGCACATCAGTGGTTCAGGTGTTAGCCACGGACTTGGATTCTGGCCTACATGGAGAGGTTTGACCTTACATCCAATTCTTTTCCTCCCAATAGTCAAGTTTTAGTATTGTAATTAGTGAGAATGTGTAGCCAGCAGATGACAGGGTAATGAGCCACCAACACTTCTTACAGCACTTGTCAGGCATTTGTCTAGCACGTGCCTGATGTGCATAATTTGGGAGGCAGGCAGAGAAGATGCTGTTCACTGTCTTCAGATCCTGCATCATAGCATCTAATCCTGATCCAGCAACCATGACAAAGCACTGCTACATGATTTGCAGGGCTGCTCCTGTGACAAGACAAGTGGATGTGGCTGCAGGCCATGTTTCCAAACTCTTGCCTCTTCAGCTTATTTTTTAATTGATTGTCAGTGATTGTTGTCAGTTATTCACTGCCATTTAAATATGGCCAATTAAAAAGCATTTTATTTCACCATCATTGGTCAAATGGTTGGTCAAACCAACATTTGACCATTATTGTCATAATGACCCAACCCTAGGAAAAAGCAGAATTCTGAAAGAATTTTCTCATTTTCTGTGTATTTTCCTGAACCATTTCCAAAAATGTTACTAGCTCTTCTGTGAAGAAACTCTGGCTAGTGGAGATCTGCTGTTCTGGAACTGTCATTTTGCAACTTCTGAAGAGCAACCTGTAGTAGAACTGCCTGGTGGTGCTCTGGGCATGACCCAGGGGTGGGGATGGAAATGTCTTTCTTTTCAGAGAGCAAATTTTATTAAAGGCAAAAATGTGGATAACTTTCATCAGTAGAAGTTTTCATTTATTCAGTCCTGTTGAACAGGATCCATATGATCAGTTAGCTCCAATTTTTTTTTTTTTTGAGATCAAAACCACAGTGGATTGCTAGAAGCTGAGGAGACACCAGGGAAGATGTCATTCCATACATTTTGTTCCCTATTACTCATGGTCTTTCTTAACTGCTCCTACTGTCCCCTGTTGGAGGTTGGATACTGGGCTTGATGGCCCTTGACATCACCTGTTCAGGTGTTCTTCTGTCTGAAAGTTCTGGAGTTTTTATATAAAAATGAGCAAAAGACTTAGAAAATCATATTCACATGATCTGTCCTTCCTGAGAGTGTTGCTACTTTGCAGACAGACCCAGAAGGCTGCTGAGGAAGGGCAGGTCACAGCACTTGAACATACAAATGAAAATCGAAAATGTTAACTTCTTTTAACTATTTCCTTTTTAGGTTCACTACTTAATATTGAAAGATTCTAATGAGGATTACCAGTTCTTCACCATAGAACCTGAGACAGGAATTATTTCTACCCGTGCATCTTTTGACAGAGAGAAAAGAGCCTCTTACTTGATTGAAGTTCAGTCTCAAGACTCTTCAGAATCTGCTAGACCTGGTGTTCATGGGCAGCCCAACACAGGTAAAACTAGTAAGGAATTCTATATTGGTTAAAAGATATCAGAGATTGAGTTCTTTAACTTTTATAGACTTGGGGGGTATGTGAGTTGTCTGGAATAACACAAGGTATTCCACCTCTGCCATTTCTAGTCTGCATGTTCCTCTTGCATCTCCTTCTTAGACACAGCCTACGTAAGGATTTTTGTCAGTGATGTGAATGACAACGCTCCGGCATTTCCTCGATCAGTGTATGAGGTCAGCGTAGATGAGGACAGGGATGTTGGAAGTCCTGTTGTGACAGCAATAGCAGATGATGAAGATGAGGGTGAGTGGACCTTGCATATCTTTTCAAGTCCCTTTAGCGTTAATTTGTGCTGTGTGTAGGGCTAGCTCCTTCATGGGCGAACACATCTCTGCATCCAGGAGATGATTACAGATTTCAAGCATTTTTAAAAGTGAGGAGAGAAGTTCTGGGCACATGTGAGCATTTTCTTCTATTAGGTGCTCAGGTTTTCACTGCAAAGGTTAAGCTAGCTGGCAATCTGTGTGGGAGAGAATGAAATCACCTGGAATCACAACGCTGCTGTAACGTCATAATAGGTAACATAAAAAATCACTCCTGAGCATGTGCTTGCTTTTTGCCAAACCCTGTGTTTTCTAGATCTTTCTGGGAGTCAATTTTACTTACTATCATTGTAAGAAAACCAGACCTGTGCGCTTTTTTGATGATTTAGTGAATATGGTGAATTAGTTAAATATGCTTGTGGAAGAATCTGACAAACAATGGATAATCTGGGATGACATGGTCAGAAATGAAGTCAGGAAGGAAGGGAAAGCCAGACTTTCTGTTTGGGCTCACACTGACATTGGCTATGATGGTTTGAAACTGCCCCTACAGACAGGCTGAGCCAGTCCAACAGCATATACCATCAGTCAGTCCCTGACTTTGCTTCTGCTGTGGCATTTTTGCTACTTTCATGAGCTGGGCCAGTAAAATTTGCTCAAGAAAAGCAAACTCATTGAAAAAAAGAAGGCAAGCTGATGACAGAGTCCAAATGAGAACCAGAGAAACATGTTCCTGGGAGGAGATGGGAGCTGATCATTCCTTCCACTGGCAGTGCTGTAATGCCCGTGCCTCTTAGTGCCCACAAGGGAGATGTTAAGAGGCCATTTGAAACCAGCTGCTGCATTTGGGAGAATTTGACAAAAGTGAGCAGAAGTGATGCTCAAACTCTTGCTTCAAAGGCAGCCAAGCTCTTCCAAGCAGTAATGTTGAGCACAGCCTTTTCACTTTCTTACCGTACATGTTGGTTGCTCTAGTCTTCTCATCTACAGCTGACTATAACTTGAAATGCTGAATGTTCTTTCTACTCCTAGCAGTTTGCCTACTTAATTTGGGAAATGACTTTCTATACTGGAATGCAATGTCATGTATTTTTTACCTTTTCAAATAAGTAAACAGAAAGCACTAAACGATTTGTTGTTGTTCCTAAAAGTTTTGCAACAATCAAACAGCTGCTGTTGTACAGGTGGAATGTTCTTCTGAGATGAATTCTTGCTCAAAACAGAGGACTTCTGTTATATTTTAGCACCACCCAGTGGTTTAAAAAAAATTTAAGGAATATTGGAGTTTGAAATGAAGCTTAGGAAACATTGAGTAAAAGTAGCTTCTAGTATTTTAATAGTATGTTACTTTTTTGTTATTGGCAAATGAATGAACAACAAATTAGAGGTATACAATTTCTTCATTATCAATCAACAGATGCTTGTCCACATCTGCAAATATATACAAATGCAGACCTAACCCACAATCTACCATACACAAACCCTTCAAATTACATGCACATATCATTCTGTTTGTGGCTGTGTCTGTTTTATCTCACACACGCTATAACAGTCCAGGCAAATAAGGTTGCTCTTGGATACGTGTCCACTGTGCATAGCTGGATTGAGCATTCATAGGGAGAACAGGCAGCAATTGTTTCTTTCTCTTGTAGGTGCAAATGCCAAACTAAGGTATCAGATCACATCAGGAAATCTGAAAGGAGTTTTTGATGTGGAACCTGAGATTGGAACTGTCTTCATTGCTCAGCCTCTGGATTATGAACAAGAACAACATTATGAGCTCAGGCTTGTAGCTTCTGATGGAAAATGGGAAAACCACACTCTTATCATCATCAATGTTGTCAATAAGAATGACGAAGCACCAGTCTTCACTCAGAATGAGTACCAGGGTGGTGTCTTGGAGGAGCTCACAGATCTGCCTGTACTTGTCCTAAAGGTAAAGCAGTTTGCACAAAGCAGGGCAAAACCTGACTTTGTGTTCAGCTCAATCCCATCCATTCATACAAAACAAAAAAGATGGTTTCTTTAGGGTAGGTGAAGCCTACCTGATATTAGGACTTAGCTAGCAACTTTCTGTAAAGAACAGAATAAAGAATTTGCGTGGTGGATTTGCTGTCTTGATCAAGATAAATAACAGTTGGATTTGATGATTTTAAGGGTCTGTTCTAACCTAATTCTAAAATTCTGTGATTCTAAATGTTGAAAAATGTGATGGCTTTCCTTTACAGACAGAGTTGGCATATTTTGAGTGACTGTATAACCATAGCAAGATTGTCACATGTACCTCCTGCATGTAATGCATACTACCAAATAAACATTACCAGGGATTGGTTTTTGACTCCAACTCAATCATTTTCGTTGTTTTGCTGTTAGAGCAATTCCTGGTTGGCCCAACTAGCATTGTCACAAACAATCCCTGGATGCAAATCAGGGGCTGGGAGTTCTCTCTGGCCTATGCTGCTCATCAGCTTGGATGTACGGCCTGTTTTCATAGCCTTCTGTTTGCTCAGAGAGAAACAGCCCCTGCTTGTCTTTGTGTTACAGATCCAAAGAGTTTCACAGGAAACATTTGCTCAGCAGATCTGCTATTATTTCCACTTGATTCTTCCTACAGTTATTTCCTCTTTCCAAAATATACTGGGAAATAGAATATATTAATCTGTCTAAATGTCATCTTTTTGTTTCTCTAGATGTGTATGATGTTTATTGAAAGAGTACTTGAATGATGCAAACCAATAGATGCTTGCTGTTAAAACGCATGGTATTTATTTAGCCAGCACAATACCAGCTGCCATCAATAAGAGAACAGTGATTTCCTCTTTTCTTTTACATAAACACTTCCCTGCTGTGGCTTGTTCCAGGTTTCTGCAACAGACTCCGACCAAGCAGCAGATCAAAATGCCATTAACTATTCCTTGCATGGGCAGGGGGCCAGTAGTGAATTCAGCATCAATGAGAACACAGGGGAGATCAGCGCAAATAAAAGGTTAGACCGTGAGAAGAGATCAACGTGGCGCTTTCTTGTTCTTGCAACAGATGAGAGTGGAGAAGGACTGACTGGCTTTGCAGATGTGATCATAGAAGTGAGGGACGTGAACGACAATGCACCCCTTTTCCTCTGTGTGTTGGATGGCTGTTTCACAGGCCACGTCCCTGAGGATGCACCGGCTGACAGTCCTGTCATGGAAATGACAGCAGTGGATCTCGATGACCCAAAGGCTGGTATGAATGCTGTGCTAACATACAGTATCATTCAGAACGTCAAAAATGAAATTAATCTGGACTTGTTCTCAATTGACTCAGTCAGTGGCACGATCTGTACTGTGCTTGGGTCCCTGAACCGGGAGAAGGAAGACAAGTACCTTATAGTGGTTGAGGCCAGAGATGGAGGAGGGCTCACTGGGACAGGTACTGCCACTATTTTGGTGACTGATGTAAATGATCATGCTCCAGTCTTCCTGCAAAGGATTTACACAGCCTTTGTCTCTGAGAATGCGAGTATTAACACTGAAGTGGCGGTGGTGTCTGCTGTGGACAGAGACGAAGGAGAAAATGCCATGGTGACATTCAGCATCCTTGATGGGGACAATGACCACAAGTTCTCCATTGAGACAGATGAAGTCAACAACTGTGGGTTTATCCGGCTGCGAAAACAGGTTGACTTTGAGAAGCCTCATGAGAGGGTATTCAATTTGACTGTGAAAGCAGAGGACATGAATTTCTTCAGCATTGCTTACTGCGTGATCTATGTGGAGGATTCAAATGACCATGCTCCTGTCTTCTACCCCCAGTTCTATGAAGTGGCTGCACTGGGGGAAGACGTGCCGGTTGGCACCAAAGTTGTTCAGGTTTCTGCTGTTGACTTGGATTCTGGCCTGAACGGAAGGTTTTCTTTCCACCTGCTACACAAGTCTGACCCAGGTGGCCAATTCTCTTTGGCTAATGATGGGTGGCTGATGGTTGCAGGGCTTCTGGATCATGAGACGGTGACACAGTACCAACTCATTGTCATTGCCACTGATATGGGGCAGCCCCCTCTGACTGGCAGTGCCACTGTTTTAGTGACTCTGCAGGATGTAAATGACAATGGGCCAGAGTTTGAGGCTCATTATAACCCAGTGGTCTGGGAAAACACAGCTTCTCCACAGGTTGTCCAAATGAACGAGACCTCCACGCTGCTGTATGCAAAGGACCGAGACACTGCTGCGAACGGAGCACCTTTCTCCTTTCGCCTTCTTGGCGATTTCGAGAGTCTGACTAACTTCAACTTGCAGGACTTCCACAATGGAAGTGCACTGCTCACTGCACTGCATACCTTTGACAGGGAAGTGCACAAGGCATTTTACCTGCCCATCCTGATCACAGACAGCGGGATCCCACCAATGAGCTCCACCAACACACTGACTGTGAATATTGGGGACCAAAATGACCACCCGCACTCTGCTGGCCACATGGAATGTCTCATTTACAGCTATGATGGTAAATCACTCCCTGATGTTTGCTTTCAAGTGTGACAGTAAGGTCAAAAGAGGCAGCTGTGAGTTTCACCACAGGACTCTGTCCTGTTCCACATAAGCTAAGATCTTAGTAGAGATGCTACTGAAGTTTGCTTAAAGCCCAACAGAGAGCAGTAGGTGTGTAGAGTAGGACTCTGGGCCACGTGATGTGGAAGAAACCAAGCCAGCCTTGAAGGAAGAGCGTAACTGGCTGCTATTCTTTACATGTTTCTATCAGACTTGAGTAATGATCTCTGGGTTTCAGGTGCAGTTTTCTGGCAGCATTAACTTTTCAGGGGAAAAAAATGACCAAAGTTCATAATATTGCTGAAAACAGATGAGTGTGAATGCTGAGAACCTTCTTTCTCCTCCTTAAGCCTTTTTCCTCCTGCAGACTGAACTGAGTTTTAGTGAATACACTTAAGCTGAACGCACATGTAAACTGCCTGAGACATTCATCTTAAGTCTTCAGCTGACAAATGCTGTTATGGTGGAATTTTCTGTGAATGCTGGCTGCAGGCAGTGTGAGAGAAGCATCTTTCCCTTCTTGCTCTGGCAATTAGTTAGAAGTTTTCTTGTGAGCCAGTGTGCCCACATAATAAGCCCAAGAGCAAAATAAACCACACAGGTAAAAAGATTTTGGGATGCTTGCATCCATGTTGGTTCAGGTCATTCCTTCCTCTTCTAGTCTGCTGTGTATCCTGTGGTTTGATAGCACATTAAATAGATTATCTATTGTGGACACACTAGAAGCTTCCGAGTGGATGTTTTTGACCTTTCCTTAGAAATAGATTTTGTAAATCCAGATATAACAATTTGTGAGCTTTGCTGAGAGGATGCAAAACCAGCAGAATACATGCTGCTTTCCATCTCATCCCAAAGTCTCACCATCTACTCAAAATAAGCCTGATTGCTGTGTTTTGGACATCCTCTCTGTCTTGCTGTAATTTCCTCCAAATTGCCATTGTTTTTTGCCCTTTATAACTCAGTCTGCATTTTGGTTCTTTATCCTGCTGAACACCAATCTCTGTCTAAAACACTTTGTAAGTTGGTTGGATACTGCAGATAAAACAATGAAAATTCTTAGATGTGGATTTTCTTTTTTCTTTCCTATTGCTTTTCATTGCAGCCACTTGTAGAATTAAATCTATGAAGCTGTACAGCAAACATTCAATAAGCAGGGCACCATGTGGCATTTGCAAACTGGCACATATCTTTGGGGACTATCACAGATATTTTTGTAGAGGTCTTAGACTTCAGTCTAAAGTAAAACTTAAATGACCAACCTGTTTGTGTACATGTGAGAAGTCTGACTGCGACACTTACATGCTGTGTCATTTTAGGTATTCTCCCCACAACTGTACTGGGCCAGGTCCGTGCCCCTGACGCTGATGACTGGGATCACAAAATCTACCAATTTGAAGGGAAAACATCAAGGTATTTGGAGAGAAAAATGGGAGTTGCTTAGAAAGCTTGCCCCACCCCCAACCCCTCACCCCCATATCATAACAAGTATTTACACTGCCTTTTTTTAAAACATCAGAAGTGCAAAAGCATTTTCTTGGTTAGACACTTCTGTATGTAGGTCTCCAAAAGCCCTTATGAATGTGAGGCTGTAATAAATAATGCTGCGTGTCAAACCAGCCTGCTTCCCGTTGCCTGATGGGCCAGAACACTGTTCTAAATTCCTGTTCAGTAATACCCATAATCTGTATCAGTGAGCCACTACAGAAAAAATACCTATTAACTTCCAGATTCCTTCATCCAAGCTCCTGGAGAGCTGGTGTTTCCATGTCACCACTGGTTTTAAGACCTTATTTTTATTGGATGCACACACACGGGAGTGCCTGGATTGCATCTAGGGCTGAGAGGTGCATGTGCCATTCAGAGGTTTCAACAGAGGTGTCATTCTCAATGAGTGTATCTACACTAGGCTTTTGCACTGTTTCCAAAGTTATGGCTATTGCAGCCTTAGTCTTCCTACACAGTTAATACAGCATAGCAGCAGAAAGAAACCTTCATGATATATTAGTGAAGAGTTACTAGGAGCCAACAGGAAGCAATGCAAAAAAGTTCTTATGTGCTGTGTCCCTTCATGAGGGAATACATCTGCTTTCTCTAGTCATACAATCATAGAATCATAGACTCACAGAATCAGCCGAGTTGGAAAAGACCTCTGAGATCATCAAGTCCAACCCTTGATCCAACACCACTGTGGTTACTAGACCATGGCACTAAGTGCCACATCCAGTCTCATCTTAAAAACCTCCAGGGATGGAGAATCCACCACCTCCCTAGGCAGTCCATTCCAATGTCTAATTACTCTCTCTGTAAAAAATTTCTCCCTAATATCCAACCTAAACCTCCCCTGGCAGAGCTTAAGACGATGCCCTCTTGTCCCACTGATAGTTGCCTGGGAGAAGAGACCGACCCCCACCTGGCTACAACCTTTTTTCAGGTAGTTGTAGAGAGTGATGAGGTCTCCCCTGAGCCTCCTCTTCTCCAGGCTAAACAACCCCAGCTCCCTGAGCCTCTCCTCATAGGACTTGCACTCAAGTCCCTTCACCAGCCTTGTTGCTCTTCTCTGGAGCTGCTCCAGCACCTCAATATCCTTCCTAAACGAGGGGCCCAGAACTGGACACAGTACTCCAGGTGTGGCCTCACCAGCACTGAGTTCAGGGGAAGAATCACTGCCCTGGTCCTGCTGGCCACACTATTCCTGATACAGGCTAGGATGCCATTGACCTTCTTGGCCACCTGGGCACATTGCTGGCTCATGTTCAGCTTCCTGTCAATCCAAACTCCCAGGTCCCTCTCTGCCTGGCTGCTCTCCAGCCACTCTGTGCCCAGCCTGTAGCACTGCATGGGGTTGTTACGACCAAAGTGCAGGGCCTTGGTCTTGTTGAACAAGGCCCTTGTTCAACACTTGGCCTTGTTGAATCAGAAAAAACCATCAGTGATGATAATTAGTACCTAGCTTTTGAACTTCTCATAGCTTGTTCCTTGGCTTAACTCTTATTACAGGTACTTTATCCTTAATGATAACTCAGGTTTGCTGACTATTAAAGAAGGAACCCCACCAGGAACATACAACATAAGAGTTAGAGTCATTGATGGCGTCTGGCCAGATGTTATCTCAACTGTAAAGGTTATAGTGAAGGAAATCAAAGATGATGCCCTCCATAATGCTGGTTCCGTACGAATAAAAGGTAAGGAATGTGATCAAGTACGGTAAGATCATAGTACTGAAATCTACTTTTTTAATTTTACTGCTGTGATACTTAGAATTCTAATGCTCCTAGACATGGAATGAGAGTTAATAGTTTTCTAGGTAAGGGTTTGAAAATACATGTTTATTTGCATGGTTGTCTGATGCTGCATGGGTAGGAGAATCTATGGAGAAAAAAGACAGCAAGAAAAAGTTTGTCTGATTTCTACACCAACTTTTAACAAAACAGCAATTCATATTTCAGAAGAAAAACTGTTTGAACAAGTCTCTGCCTGAAATACAACAAATTGTTTCAACCTTTGTGGAAAAGCAAAATCTTCTTAAACATGTTTCTGATTTAAAAAAAAATTATTTAAAAAAGAAAGTAATATAAATCAAAAAAGTTTCAGAACATACATCCTTAGCAGAAGCCAGTATGGAAAATTTCAGAGCCTAACAATGCAAGTACTCCTGAATATGCAGTTGAGTCCATTTTTTGCGACATTCTGTGGTGCTCCTCTCTTCCATTGCTACAGCACTTGCAAGATACATGTATTTCAGGTTTTCAACTTCTATTACAGGTATCACACCAGAGGAGTTCATATCCCAATCCCCTGAAAAACAGAGTAAATACTACCAGATGAGGAAGCTGCTTTCAGAAATTATATCAGTCCAATTGGAAAATGTTCACATTTTCAGTGTATTAAATAGTCCAAGTCCAACCCCAGGGATTGATGTTTGGTTTGCTGTTTATGGTCCTCCTTATTATAAAGCAGAAAAACTCAATGGCAATGTAGCAGCCTCCAGAACATGGGTAAGTATCCATCCTGTATATGAAACCACAGCATCTTCTCGTTGTGTCTATTCAGATAATGCACGTTGCCTAGTGAATATGCACATTTAGAATGACTGAGTAATGTATGAGAAAAATAGATCATTTTAATCAGTAAAGTCAATCAATCCTCTAGCATCATACTAAAAGTTTGAAATGTGAATGTTTTCAAAGCCAGCCTATAAACACATATAAAGTCACCCAACCACAACGAGCTTTTAGGATTGTGAACATGTTTTTCCTATTGAAAAGACTGTAAAATTCTGTATAAAGGATGTTTTTGGGTGTTGCCTTTCTACACAGTGTCCTAATGTTTCAGTTTTTTGTCCTCTACATAGAAATGTTTTGTAGTTGAGACTCACAAACCAGTCAGAAGTTTCAACTTTCTAAGCTAAGAGGGCAAAGCAATAAAAGAGGCATTCTCCGGTGGAAAACCAGGTTGGAAATGTGTGTTGACAATTTAGTAAAGTTCCTGCCCCTCTTGCAAAAAAAAAAAGCATGATAAGAGTTAAATGACTCGCTCTGTTGGAATTGTATCTGTTGGTACACAGAGGCTGAAATTAGAAATAACTTTAGAATCAATGCTTCTGTACCAACTCACTCTTGCCAGACAAGATATCTCTTCATTGTCCAATGCCTTTCCACTCTCCCAGTATCTTTAAGGTAGAAGTTCAAATAAAAAATGCAACTCAGATGCTATGTAAATAATCCATCAGAACCATCAGTGACTGAAATTTATCCACTTGGTCTCTAATGAATATGACAGTATTTTTGCCCCCTAAGTGCATACTCATGCTGTAATTGACTTACACCTTGGCTTTGACCTTAACAGATGCCAGATTGAGCTGCCTTTGGCTGGATAGGGTGAGATTGGAAGGAAGTGGCACAGCAACCAGTTTTGAAAATAAATAAGACTTCTGCTTTTCGTTGCTGTCATTAGTGAGTTTTCTCTCTGTGGAAAAGTGAGATGAATGCAACTAATTGTTCTCTACAGCTGGAAAGCATCTTGGATATAAATATCACCCAGATTGGCATTGATGAATGTGTGACTGCAAACTGTACTCACAGCAGCGGATGCAGCAGTAAGCATGAACAGAAACATGTACCAACCGTAACCACAACTGCAAGTGTTTCACTGGTGTCTGTGACAGTCCTGAGTCATGCTGTGTGTGGCTGTGCAGCTCGGGAGAGTCCTCATCTTTCCTGCTCCACATACCAGACAAACCCTTGTCTCAACGGTGGCACATGCATGGACACTGATTTGGGCTACAGGTTGGTAAAGCTTTGTCTGGTGTGCAAACAAAATGCATCTAGTTCAATCTGTAAGGAGGATGAGTGGAAGCTTCCAGAAGCATCATTGTGTGTCTTCTCATTGTAGCAGATATGAGTTTTGTTATACTTCATGCACAGGTCTTGCAAAAGAATCTCTACTTTCAGATGTGTACTTAGGTTCATCCTAGTCTCCAGGAAAACCTTGGGAAGTTTCCAGGCTGCACCAGTTCATTAATGCCACCCTGCAAAATGCTCTCATTTTGTCCAGCCTACTTTAATGCTCTTCAACGTTTTAATCACATCTCTTTTGCCACTTAATAACCTCTTCTCCACATTTCTTGCCTCATTTTTTCTTCCAAAAAATAGATCTCATAGATAATATAGGATAAAGATGAAAAAAATGATGAGCCTAGAACCCTTCCAGAAGTCAGCCTTAAGCATGTTTGCTTAAAAATGATCATCCCAACCCAGGAAAGCAGAAATGCTGACCAGCCTCTTCAGAGCACCCTTGATAGGGATGACAGGACTCAGACCGAAGCTGAAGAAGCCCTTGTCATTCTAAAGTTCTGAGTCTGATACTGCTGCTCAGATGTAATCAACTATGGAAATTTTGCTACCCAGAAACCCGTGGTAGGCTCTGCCACCCATCACTTGCTCAACTCTGAAGTTTTTTTTGCTTCAGTTTTGTGAGTGATCTTCTCCTGCATCCTACCCCTGTCATTCTGCTCTCAGTAGGTACGAGCAACCTATGGGAAGCAGAAACTAAGAAATAGGAGATCAGCTGATCTTCCTCCCTGTCCTCCTGCCCATTTCTGTTGTTCCTTTGCTTTCCCACTTACAGGTTTTGTTATTGCCGTGCTATGCTGTGGCTTCTCTTTTCTACAGAATCCACAGAGTATCAAAGAAAGAACCCCAAGCATCTGTTTTTGATAGTGTAAAGGAAATAAACTAGCAAGTAGCTTTCAATAAGAGTGAAGATGTCAGACCTCTTCTCGCTTTTTCTGGGTGATATTAGCTTCCACACCCTTCCTGGAGAGACTCTGATTGGACACAAGCAGAAAATTTTTCACAATAAGAATAATCAGCCATTGGAATAATCTCTCCAGGGAAGTGGTGGTTTTCCCAACATTGCACACTTTTGAGATTTGGCTGTCAGAGTGCTGGGTCATCTTGTCTAGATCATTCTTTTGCCAAGAAAGGTTGGACTAGATGATACTTGAGGCCCTTTCAACTTGATATTCCATGATTTCTTTGCTTTCCCTTTGCATCATTAAGTCTTCAAACAAGCTGATAACTAGGCCTAGTGAAAAGCAGATTTCTTTTTCTTTTTTATGCTGAAGAGGTAAGATGTTTTTGTGGGCTTTGTATATTACAACTCCATCATTTATTCACAGAATATTCTTGCATAGACATATTATCATTTTGAACTAAATCTAAGTTCTGTTTGTATGAACAGGTCAATAGGGAACCTTTTTTGATGGAAGTTTTGCTTGTGCTGATCTTTGCTGTGACCTAGGCAACATGGACTCCTGTGTTTTAAGTGGAGAATCCTGCTGTCAGAAGAGCTCTTTGCAGCTTTTGCTTGGATGGTGGATATTTGCTTTCAATTTTTTATTTAACAGATGCAAATGTGCTGCAAATTTTCATGGACCAGACTGCCAGCAGACAAAACACAGCTTCAGAGGCCATGGTTATGCCTGGTTCCCTCCTCTTCAGCCTTGCTTTGAGAGCCGCATCTCCTTAGAGTTTATCACTGATGTCGCCGAAGGCCTTCTGTTGTACCATGGACCAGTGGCACGAGGGCAGCCTGAAGAACAGGAATACTTCCTTGCTTTAGGTTAGCACCTAACAGAATATTTATTTGTGTTTGTGTGAAGGTGAAATTCTACTTAGTTCATAGAGGTTATTTTTCAAAAGAGGTTCAGAAAGTTATTTTTTGTGAATATGAGTCAGCAGTGCCCTGGTAGCCAGGAGGGCCAACCGTATCCTGGGGGGCATCAGGTAAAGCATCGCCAGCTGGTCGAGGGAGGGGATTGTCCCGCTCTGCTCTGCACTGGTGCAGCCTCACCTTGAATATTGTGTGCAGTTTTGGGCACCACAATATAGGAAAGATATTAAGCTACTAGAGAGCATCCAAAGGAGGGCAACAAGGATGGTGAAGGGCCTCGAGGGAAAGCCATATGAGGAGCGGCTGAGATCACTTGGTCTGTTCAGCCTGGAGAAGAGGAGACTGAGAGGAGACCTCATTGTAGTCTACAACTTCCTTGTGAGGGGGGGACGAGGGGCAGGCACTGATCTCTTCTCTATGGTGACCAGTGACAGAACCAAGGGAATGGCCTGAAGTTGTGTCAGGGGAGGTTTAGGTTGGATATTAGAAAGAGGTTCTTCACCCAGAGGGTGTTTGGGCACTGGAAAAGGCTCCTCTGGGGAAGTGGTCACAGCATCAAGCCTGACAGAATTCAAGAAGTGTTTGGACAACACTCTTGGGCACATGGTTTGACTCTTGGGGATGGTCCTGCACAGGGCCAGGGTTTGGACTTGATGATCCTTGTGGGTCCCTTCCAATTCAGCATATTCTGTGATTCTCTGATTCTGTAATGAGAATGCAGAATAGGTCACCAGTACACCCAGTTTGTATACCTGTGGCACTCTGTTAAAAGCTGGATTTTTTTAAAGCTGTCTAAAGAACTTCTCCAACTAAAATCTAACAGCAACAGTTGTTTCAAGTGAGTGTGAGTGGGAGCATGGTCAATGCGTATTCAATAACAGTCTTTCCTTTGCAGAGCTCTCCGGTGGTGTCCCGTCGCTGACCCTGAGCCACAGCTCTGGTGAGCTTTTCCTGCAGCTCTCACAAAAAGTTAATGTTGCAGATCGCCGCTGGCACAATATTAAAATTATAAATGATGGAAAGGCAAGTGTAAATATGGGCAGTCCTGTGGAAGCACTAATTCATGTACCCAGTTATTCCTTCCAAATCCTTCCTCCCTTCTGTAGAGCTCTTTTATCAATTAGTCTTCCATCACTTCTGAAACAGCAGGGACAGATGTCCCCTTAGTCTTGAAGCAGTGAAGCACAACAAGGGCTGGAGAAGTCTGATCCATTTATGAAACTGGCCAGGCTATTTCTTTGGTTTAATGATCCTACCTGCTGCTTAGACAACAAAGTTGTGATAATCCAGGGGCTAAATGCTTCCTGGACTGATTGAGTGAGATATCCTTAATTTCTCTGAGTGAAAAGCCCTGCCTCACCACGGGACTTTAGATGTGTAGCACAAAGGAGACAGATATGCTTTAGCGTACAGGGAATATCTTGCTGATATAACACTGCTGACGGCATCTGCTAGGCTCCCTGTTCCTCTCCCATGAGACAAGCTGAAGGGCATGCCAGGATCTGGGATAGGAGCCTGGCAGACTTTCTACTCTGCTAGATTGTCTCTCTGTGTTCTGATTTGGCAGAAAACTCCAAGAAAATGTTATATTCCCTCTACTGTGTCAATGACTTGGCATGATTATGGTAGAGTCAGATCTTTTCTTTTGTATGGCTCCTTAGCCATATGCAATGCGCAAAAACCTTCCAGATTAGTATGTGGAGTGTCTTATTATTTTAATAAAGTTTCCTGCACTGTAATTGCTAGTTACCCTTCTCCCATCTGCTAAGTGAAAAAAAAGTGTCATTAAAATGTATGCATGTCTCTGGATACAATTGTTTTAAATAATGCCTTTTTCTAGGAAGTGAAGATGATTCTTGACCACTGTGTAAATGTCTCAGTTAGAGACAATGACATTGTCATTAAGAACTCCCAAATGGATCTGTCTGCCTGTGAAGCCTCTGGAGAGATTGTGGGATCTGAAAGGTAAAAATCCAAAATCAAAACAGCCAACAAAAAAACCTGGCAATGTAACTACTCAAGAGAGTTAAGGAAAAAGGCAGCGTGGGGTGGTGAAATCAGCCAAGCTGCTGTATTTTGCATGCCACTAATTCTTTCTTTTTCTCCTCTTCAGCATGGGTAGGCTCTTCAGTGGCCATCAGCCCCTGCAACTGGGTGGAGTTAAGAAGACTTTGCCTTACCCTGATTCACAAAGGCACTTCAGAGGATTTGTTGGCTGCATACGCAATGTCATTGTTGATAGTAAGGTAGGGCCACAAAAATCACTCTTGGGTTTACTGCTGTTAACTGTAGGCACCCAATGTGATGGTTCTCTTTGACCTTTTCCAGGTCTATGATTTAGAGCACCCTGCAGAGTCCCTGAACAGCGTTCCCGGCTGTGTCCTTACAGATGAAGTGTGTCAGAGTGGTGGGATGGCCTCCTGTGGCACCCACGGCAAGTGTGTTGGTGGTTGGGATTTCTTTCACTGTGACTGTTCCTCAGGATATGCTGGACCAGCATGTGAAAAAGGTACTGCAGGTTCTAGGGAGAAATTCATGGTGAGGATCTGTGGGAACAGCATCAAACATACTGCTCTAATGTTCAAAGTCACGCTACCATGACTTTGAACTGAGTAGAGTAATTAGACCTTGCTGTACTCTTGGAATAATTTAGATCTGCAAAGATGTAAAGATCCTTTAAACTCTTGTTGAATAAAGATACCATCACAGATGAGGGCCATGTTGAGAGCTGCTTTACTTTGCAGGGAAGGGAAGTGGTCAAACAGATTGTTTTTGTCCTTTTCATCACAGCATCTTATTTCTCAGTGGTGAAAGGTGAAACATTCTGTGTTGTGCCTTCTTCCTCTGATCATGCTGATCACAAAATGAACTTTAATGAACCTGTTAAACCTGAGGACATAATTCTTTTGTTATCTTCAGGTCCAATTTTCCATCTATAAAATGGCAATAATTGCATTTGCAAGTTGAGCAACGCCCCTAGACCACAGCAGTGAAGGCATGTGGGGGCATAATATCAGGCTGTCTGCAGCGAATATGTTATTCTGTACAAAATCAGCAAGAAATATGTATCAGAGAATAAAGGCATGCTGTGGTGGATAATGAAAACCCCAGAGATATTGTAAGAATGTGCAAAATTTCAGCTCAGTTCAAAAATTTAGGAAATAATGCATTTACCTTTCCTTCTTGTATACGGAACAATAATACCCTATGCAGGCAACCAGACCCTCTCTTCTTTCTCCATCTGGCACACAAGGCTTAAAAGGCATGACAGCAAATTACTCAGCAGAAGTTCTGTCTGTCCAGTGGGGTGAAGACCAGAATTATAATTGGCACGGTCTAAGCCTGGAGCATTCACTGTTTAAAGTGTTTATAATGACCACAGAACTGCTAATGCAGCTCAGCTATTTGTATTATGTTTTGTAGACAGATAATATTGGTTTATAAATATCTGGCTATATTTAAATCTTACTCTGTTTTGCATTATCTTGGGATGCTGGTTCACAAGCCCAACTGCTATATTGGCTTCTACCCCTTACTACTGTGGGACAAACCAAGTACTTACTTGAAATCCGTAAGTCATATCCTGGTGTATCAGGAAAACTTTGATTGGTTCCAGCTTCTTCTAATATATTGGGCTCCAAAATGCTGGTGTGCAACTGATGCTTTATGAATGGCTGAGCCATGCTCAAAGCAAGGAGCAGATAGCCGGGGACAAGAATCACTGGATCATCCCAAGAAAACCCTTGTCTGCTCATCAGCTGTAGCCTATAGCTGCAGAGATAGTGAACAAGAGAGAACAGTGGGTTAGAAAGAATAATGGGAGGGGAATAAGCTAGAGGAGAAAAGAAAACATGCTTCAAGAAAGGAAAGAGAGAATAGAAACGGTGCAAGGAAAAGAGAGTTCAGCAATTAAGTCTCTCAATCATTTGATATTTCATATCCTGGGAACCAGACTAAATGCCACAGGATGAGCTGGGCACTCTTTAGATTTCTACCTGTATGACACTGACCTCAGATGAGCTTTGGTGACCCAGTGCTCCTCCTTTCTAGTAACTAAGTTAAACTATCTCTTTATTTGGTGAAAAGAAACTTTTGTTTTTTTTTAATAAGCCGTGCCCAAAACAAGCAGATGTAGGATTGCTGTCAGGTAATGAGATTAAAATAGGTGCCTGCTCTGTAAAAGCATCAGGGTGTGGGTAGTTTAGTGGTGTTTGATTTCTACGGAAGTGTGCAGTGCCACTTCATCAGAGTCTCTACTGGATCCTGGACTCCCCAGAGAGATAAGGAAATAATTAAGTTCAGTGAATTTTCCTTTGTTAAAATAATAAACACTGACTTAATCTCTCTTTGTAATTAAAAAAACCCCTATGCCTCCCTGAGGTTTTCTTTTGTTCCATCTGAAAGGGGAAGTAAAGTGCATATTTTCTAACATCGAGGGTTTTAACCATGGGACTAAACTACTGAAAGAAGCATTTGATTCTCTTTTTTCATTGGGTTGGGTTTTGTTTGGTGTTTTTCTTCAGATCAATACCAGCTACTTTACTGGAAGATATGTTTCAGATTTTAAAAAAACCAAAACACTTTATTGGGCCCAGTGTAGGAGTGACTGGGTAGAATGTACAGCTTGTAACAGACAGAATGTTAGAGACAGTATCTAATTGTCCCTTTCCTGCCTAAATTCTGAATCCTTGATTTGTTGTTTTTCTTTTAATTCTTTTTGCAGTGGGGGGTGCTTTCCACAATGCTAGATTATGTAGCCAAAATTTCTTAAGAACTAAAACTCTGACATTCAGAAGTGGTTAATTCTGAAGGAGCAGAGATCTGAGGGAGCAATCGTTTGTGAGATTTTTGCTTTGCTTTTGTGTGTGCTGTGCTTAGTTCTTCCAGAGTGGGCTTTTGGAAGGGACAGCTGGATCCATTATGAGCCAAGAAGCATCCTCAGCAGTCGTAGCACTAGGATCCAGCTGATGGTGCGCACCCGTATCTCCCACAGCACCCTTCTGAGCTTGGCCTCTGCAGATGGGAACGGATACATCCGACTGGAGGTGAGCAGTCCAAAGGCTGTTCTTTTGAGTGCTCTTAATTTGTCATGGACTACCCTAGTAAGAGAAAAAGATGCAGTTTCTGATTAATGGCACCTGTTCTGTAATGTAATAAAGAGCAAGAATTTTCCATATGAGGGTTGTGTTGCCCTTCTCAGTATTACTCTTCCATGGCATAAATTCTAGTTGTTTCACTGGCTGCAAAATGTACATGTGAGTGCATGTGATAAATGTGAATGAAGACTGTTTTGCCCTGCTTGCCATTTCCCTTTGCTTATCTCTGCCCCTGTCTATAAAACTTGTCTCTACAGTTTTGTTGCTGTTGAAAAAAGCTGTCTGGATTATGTTTGCTAGAGAGAGGCTAATTATTCTAATTGTAACAGGAGGGTCAGCTGGGAAGACTTAGAGGTAGATATCAATAAGGAGAAGACTGATAAAAGGATTCATGTGAGTTAGAAGAGTGGCCTGTAAAGAAAAGAGCTGATAATTCCTGGACCTGCAGTTTTCTCGTGGTAACATTTATCTGGGAATAACACATTTAAAAACAATAGTGCCATTTTCATTTTAAAAACTCAGGTCCATTTCTTGAGGCAGGACTGTGTAATAACATTTCAAAGTGTATTTCTATTGTTAAAGGTCTTTATCATCTTCCTCTAGGTGGTTGAGGGTTTCTTTAGCATTAACTTCAGTTTGGGGGACAAAAATCACTCTCTGAGACTGAAGACATTACACATAAACAATGGCCAGTGGGTTCTTCTGACCATGGAGCGCTACAACAATGAATTTACCCTGCGTGTTAACAGTGGTGGAGGTGATCATGAAATCACCTCTGTCTTGGGTACGAATAGATGGTTTGAAATGGATTGGGCAAGCATCGTGCTAGGAAACCGCCTTCCTAGTCATTCAGAGAGCGATTTCCAAGGTAAGTGATATTACAGATTCCTAAAAGGAGGAAATTAAAGCCTGAAAGAGGCATCTTTGAGTGTATTGGAGGGTCTAAAACCCAGGTAACAACTCCCATATAGATTATTATGCCCCTTCTTTTCTAGGAAATTCAAAGCCAACATTTAACTCTATTTGCCATCGAACCTGGTTCTAGTGAAGATTTGAGATTGCCTGTAAATATTCAAAAATAGCACTTCAGATTTTTATGTCATGGAGTCACAGAATCATTCGGGTTGGAAGAGACCTTAAAGATCATCTAGTTCCAAAGCCTCTGCCACAGCAGGGACAACTTCCACTAGACCAGGGTTTCTCATGTCAAAGGCCCCAAGTAGCATACTCATGCTGTGATCTTCACTCTTTTTTTTGCCTGGAAAGGGTTTAAGGCACAGACACAACACCTCCTGGCATGAGAGAAGGAGTTGCAAGACATTTGTAATGCTCTCTCCATTTCCTGGAGTGGGGTGCTGAAGCCTTGAGATTGTGACTCAACAAGAAGACAGATTTTTCCATTTTGTTGCTTCTTATTCAGCCCCACTTTTAGGATTAGATCTTAAATCTAGATTAATTTAGTGGAGCTGTTCTGGTTCATAGCACAGTTTTACCGAATTGTTGCATTGGTACAAAGCATCTGTCCTGGAGAAGTATTGTTGATCTCTAGACTGACCAAAGCACAAAGACACATGTTCTGTAGCTCTATTTCTAAAATAAAACAGATAAGGAGTATAAGGATCTTTTAAAAAGATGTATTAAGTTTTCTACAATGCTCTAAGGTCTCCTGCTTATGTGCTGGGGGCGAGGCTTGGGGTAGAAAAGTAGCTAAGTTAATGTACTCCTCTGCATACTGCTCTGCTTTGATGCAGGTTGTATGCGTGATGTCCAGCTGAATGGTCAGCCACTCCTCGTGGAAGGCAGAAGCACAGAGTTTGGCTTAATTCTGAGGCGGCAAGGAGTCACCATGGGATGTCATTCCAGTGCCTGCAGCAGCCAGCCCTGTTACAGCCCCTTCCTTTGTGTAGACCTGTGGAGAAAATATGAATGCCGGTACATTATGCTTTTGTTTTCATCTGGGAATGGCTGGGAAGCTCTTTCTTTGTACCTCAGACCGGGCAACTTGCTTCTAACAGTAAAACTACCTGTGGCTGCTGGCCAGAGAGGGTCATCCTAAGGACAAATCCTTCTCTCTGTTTCATCTGCCATCATGGGAGATGATGGGACTTGCTTTTTTCTGCAAGTCTGATATGGAGCCTATTTATTCCATCATTTTTTCCATAGTGAGAGAATCACAGGCCAGCAAGAAAGTGAAGTGTCCTTTGATAAAAGGTGGATTGCAAAGCTTTGGTCTCTCCTCTGTATGAAAATATCAATATATTCTTATAGTGTATATATAGAGAATGTGTGTATATACACACACATATATATACACATATATGAATATAAAAGATACATATATATTTTATACATAGATGTATAAATATATGTATATAACATGTACATGTATTTCTATACATATAAGTATTTATTGCAAATACAATACATATTTACATGTATTTTCTGTAAAGAAGTCGAAATTAATCATAATTTGTATGAAACAATTAGACTTTCAATTTCAATTAGACTTTCAATTTCAATTAGACTGTCACAAAATTGGATTCAAAAATTGATTGTCCAGGGTCAGAGCCAAAGCCCAACAACTGTTATTTTACACAGTTAGTTTCTTGGAGAATATCCACTATTTAAAGAAAATTTTCAAAATATTTATTCAAATATGCAAATCAAAATATAGGCATTTCTATTAAAAAAAAACAAGCATAAATATATGCAGGACCGGTAGAAGAAGCCACTTGAATTCTTGGAATTCAGCCAAAATTTAGCACTTCTGATGCCTAGTGATTCTTTAGTAGAAGAAGCTGTGAGATAGTTTGAAGTGTGCCTTGGGACACTCCTTTCTTCAGTCTGCTTGTGAAAGAACAATATGAAGTTTCTTCCACTTTTTCAGTAGTATTTCTTCTTTGGATTGTAGAAAGCAGGTCTGTGACCTCAAAGTATTCCTCCAGGGCCTCTCCAATTACACATCAGAAGAAATCTGTCCTAAAAGACAAGATGGGACATTCTAAGGAGGTCAATGACATTTCTCCCAAAGGTCCAAATGAACATTACAAAGCTTACACCAAGTTCTTGATAGCCCTTTTCCCATTGATCTCGGCTATCCGTTTCCTTTTAGAGACTTTGATTAGAACATGGCTGTAGGAAAAGGGATAGTCTATTCAGAAACTGATGGATCTCATTTTTAAGGAAGGAGTGAAGCTCTTCTGCATGTCTTCTGGATAGGGAAAACAGAATACGTGTTCATGTTTTTGTTAGCCTACTAGCTCACTAAGTTGGACTTTACATGTATTTCATACTCCCGGTGTGGATTTGTGGTTTGCTTGAAAATAGTTAAAATTTGTTTTAAAGAAACAGTAACAAACTGTGCACAAAACAACATACAGCTCCAGGTGCTTTTCTTGCTTAAAAGATATCACCTGCTTTGATTGTTCAGGTGCCCAGCTGGGAAAGTGGAAGTGACTGACACCCTTACAGGGCTCAGACACTGTACCTCATCCACTTGTGGACGCTGGACCTGTAGGAATGGGGGTACTTGTGTGGCTCAATCCCAAGACAAGCCTATCTGCCAGTGCCCCGAAGGTTACAAGGGAAGATGGTGTGAAATTAGCCAGGTGAAGGCTGCAAGACCAGTTGGACTCAGCTCTGGCTCTATTCTGGCAATCAGCATGTGCCTCCTTGTCTTCCTAGGTAGGAAATCATGTACCTTTTGTCCTTCTTTCTAATCTTGTACCGTGTTCCATTAAATTAAGTCTGCTTTACCCTTGGATGTTGTGATGAGTGTTTCATCTTTTCTGGACATCACCAGTTGGGAGTTCATTTCAGGATGCTAGCAGACAGCCAACAGCACATAGTCACAGTTTACTTGCTTTGAAGCCAGTTCAAGCAAGTTTAGGACTTTTCTTTTTCAGAATCACTTATTTTGAATCCTTCTTAAGTAAGAGCTTTGTGTGCAACTCTGTGTGCAGCCACATCCTTTTGAAACTCCCACATGCCCTGAGCCCTTACGTTTTTAATAGACAGGACCTACAGTTAGTACCCACTCCTCACGTATTAGGAAGGAAGAGATCTTTCTCTAGAAAGTTCATGATCTTAACAGGGAAACCTCATTAAGAGTGTGGGGCAGAGGGAGATGTTCACACTGTGTCCAGTTTCAGGTGCACTTTGGCTGATAAGTTAATAACACCACAAAAATGTGTTCATCTTGATAAACTGCATACCCATCTCAGAACAGTAAAGACTCCATGATTATATTACACTTGTAACCTTCATTAAAACAGTGGTTTACTTACTTTGGGTATCTTATTTACTCAGGATTGGTGAAAGGCCAGAGATTGGCCAAAATGCCCTCTATTTAAATGGATTCCTTTAGGTAAGTAAAATACCCTTTTAATGAAGTTTATGATGTAATATACATAGATTATTCTTTACATTCATGAATTTATTTATATATTAAGAATTACTCATTTCTTATTTGCATTACTCATGCAAATTTGGTAGTCAAATTAAGAGTTGTTGTAATATCTCAGGAATCATATAACTACTTTTATCATGCAACATACTTTTTCATATGTCATGTAACAAATATGTGTTTTTATTTCTTCCAGCACTCTTGGTTTCCTACACAGTGTGGAGTCAGTGGGGAAGTTCAGGGTTTCGGAAAGGAGGAATTTACCACATTCCTGAAGAGCGTGAAAGCTGGGAGGATGTTAGAGAAAATGTCTTAAATTATAATGAAGAAGGAGGTGGAGAACATGACCAGGTATGACACAGCTTCAATCCAGTCTTTGCAAATCCAACCTCTCCTCACTTTTCTTTTTAGCTAACTAAATGTCATTATCAAATTGGCTTGGTTTTTTTTGTTTGTTTGTTTTTTTTTAACCTGAAGTACTCTTAAGTGGAAGGCTTCTGTAACCCAATCTGTACGTTTCACGATGCTGGTCATGTGTGGCCGCCTTTGACGGAGCTGCTCTTGGACACAGCATTGTTGCTTTAGCTGAACACTATAATTACACAAGGGGATTTGGTATGTTCTGGACATAGCCCTCTGAACTAGGCCCTCTCTTTTCTTCAGCTTGTAGAAAATTCACAGAATCCAGTATTGTGTTGTCCTGCGTTTCAAAACATTTTTTTGAACCTGTTTCCTTTTAAGTTGTTTCTCTCTGATGTTTGCATTCTTTTTGTTTCCAGAATGCTTATGATATAGATAAACTGAAGAAACCTCTCCATAAAATTCCCCACTTCTCCTTGCGGGCAGCTGCTCCACACTCCAGGACACGAACTGGCCCAAAAAGAGACTCATTTCCAAAACATGCACATCAAAAACAATCAACATCATCTGCTACCAGCATCCTGGACTTAAAGGAATATGTTTCTCAAATCATCCGGGATGCAGACAGTGATCTAAAGAGTCTTCCAGCTGACACTATTCATTTTTACTGCTTAGAAGGGCAATGCTCTCTAGCAGGGAGCCTTAGTTCCTTAGATTCCATTAGTGGTGATGAAGATCTAAATTATGATTGCCTCCAAGAGTGGGGGTCAAAGTTCGACATGCTTAAAGAACTCTATAACGTCTCAAATGAAAATTTGTAACCAGAGTTAAAGGAACTTGACACATTGTCATGATGTATGGACACTACTTTTAAAAATGTCCTTTTTTATATATAAGTTACATCAAGTAACTTATGTGATACAAGTTTTTAGTTACAGTAGTATGATATACTCACTTTTCCTAGGAGTGATAATCTGAGTGATCTTTTTATACACACTGTACAGTTATTTAATGATAGAAGTGCAAAGACTTTTAAAGCATGAATTTTCTTGAAAACTTTGGAATGTAGGATTTCTATAGAATAGCATTATAATATCCTTTTTTATTTGTGTAGACCACATGACTCACTGGAATTATCATGAATGCAAGAACTTGAATTATTTTCTCCCTAGCATTAATATGAATTCCATTGTGTGGGTAACAATGGGCAGGGCATTCTTGTTTTTTAAATTGAATTCATTTTAGACTGTGAAATAATTATTAAAAATGTTAAATATAAAGTATTTTGAATTTCTGGTTTCTTGTCAGCTCCTGTTGTATTCTCCTAAACTGTACTCTCCCTTGACATCACGCATGCCACCTAACTCACTATTACAGGCTGCCCAACTGTGTGAGACTTCTTCTGTCTGACCCTTTTTCTAATTACCTGTCATGAGGGGAAGAGAATAGAAAGATCCTAACTGTGAATAGCATTTTGCTTCTGTGACAATTTTACACCCATTAAAAGAAGTTGTAAGACCTGGGAAAATTTTCTGTTTCATAAACTTTTATGTCCAAGTCTGCTTTTCACATGGAACCCTTCTTCAAAGTCTGAGCTGGAAAACAGAGAAGGCAGAAGGGGATCCAGGCAAAAATTGGAACTGAACTCTTTCAATCAGGACAGTCATTGTAAAAATTGGGATCCTCAAAACAGAAAGCATGGGAAACCTACCCCCTACTCCGTTGCCTCCTCCTACTCCCGCTCCCCCCAAAAGGACCGGTTTTAGCATGGAAAGGGACTCAGACAGAAGCTTCTGAAATCTGGCATTGACTTGAACACTCCCCTCTGTGACCATGGGTCCTCTCCCAGAGGATTATTTTGTAATTCATATTCTGAAACTGAACATTTTCCATATGGATGCATTAAACAATAACTCAGAAAAGCTGAAACAGTAGTTAGCTTTTTTCCCTCAGATAACTGCACACACAAAGTAGCACACATGAGAGAACATAACAAACTACATTTAAGTCAGGACATGTAATGGACTTCTGTCCTCGTGGAAAATGAGAAAAAGGAAAGTTCTTCTGTCTCTGGCTCACTCTGTAGAGGGCCTACAGGGAAGCCAGACAGGGACTCATCAGGAACTGTAGTGATTGGACAAGGACTAATGGGCATAAATTGAAAGAGGGGAAATTTAGGTTAGATATTAGGAAGAGATTCTTTACTGTGAGGGTGGTGAGACACTGGAACAGCTTGCCCAGGGAGGTTGTGGATGCCCCATCGCTGGGAATGTTCAAGGCTCTGGGATGGAGCCTTGAGCAGCCTGGAGGTGTCCTTGCCCATGGCAGTGAGGTTGGGACTAGATGATCTTTAAGGTCCCCTTAACATTCTGTGATTCTATGATTCGAATCTGCCCTTTTCCATGGATCGAGGTCTTGATTTCTTTGCCCTTTCATAAAGCATTAGGACGTGCATGGGCATGAGGATGGAGGGTGTGCCGTTTATCGGCCTGAGGGCTCGCAGGGGACTGGGCCATGGTGGACACGCAGGCGGAGGGACGGCGGGAGGTGACGGGGGATATGCATCCAACCAGTGACTTCGGAAAGAAAAACGCCGATTTCGTAGGGAAGTCAGACTGCTCTCCCAACAGGTCTCCCTAAGATACGGGCGGCGCCCAGGCGCGAAACCACGGCGGCTCAGGCGGGGCCCGCGCTGCCCCACAGGCGCCATGTTCCCGCCCCGCGGCGGGCGGGGCCGCAGCACCGCACCGCCTCCCACGGGGCGGTGCCGGCCGCCATCTTGTGCCGCTGTCGGTGTCGGAGGGTGCCGCGCTGTTGTTGCGGGACTCTTTGCGGGGCCGGCGGCCGCTATGAGCGCCGAGGCGGCGGACCGCGAAGCCGCTACCTCCAGCCGGCCATGCACGCCACCGCAGACCTCGTGGTTCGAGTTCGTGCTGGAGGAGGCGCTGCTGGAGCAGCACCTGCAGAAGCCCTCTCCCGGTGCGTGCCCTGCTGGCCGCCGCCTCCCCGCGGCCTCTGGCGCGGTCCGGCTCCGCTCCCTGGCTCCCCCTGGGGCAGGATCGCTCGGAGGAGCTGTGAGGTGGCGGTGGGTGCGGGGAGCTCTGCTGCGGTGCCGGGGGAGTCGGGGGCAGAGGGAGCCGGGCACTGCCCGCGGCTCTGCAGCAGCACTTAGCGCAAGCGATAACGCGGTTATTTTCTCGCTTTACACTATCTTTACTATTTAATAACTTCATTTCTCTGTCTTTCCTGTCTGGTAGATCGCTTTTCCTTTCGCGGATGTGAATTTTGTTCCGGAAGTGTTTTCAGGTTGTTTATTTGTGCGGTGCGAAGTGCTGTTTGTAAACATCATTACAGTTTGCAGCTGGTTTTCTCCCATTAAAGTCTTGCTAATGCCTGGAGCTGGAGTCCACCTAAGGGTTCAGTGCTGAACTTGCACTCTGGACCTGAAATAAATAGAAATCTAGTCTGATGTGGTATAGGAAAGTGACTATATTTACAAGCAGCTGATCTTTTGCCGTTTATAAGTGATAATCATCTCTTTCAGTACCTGAATTCTATGATGAGGTAGAGGAAACAGGAGAACCTGGGCCATTATTGCCTCTACAAAAAGTAAATTTAAGCATAGTCAAGCTTAGATCTTATACTCTATATTGCGATTAAGTAAATTATTAATACTTCTTCTGTGTTTCACAGAGTTCAATGCAAGTGTAATAGTACAGTTTGACTTTTTTTTTCAAAAGAGCTCAAAGGTATTGGAGAGTCTGTCTTATTGTAAGGGAGAGATTAGGGTGGGGTTTCTTTTTGTTTTTTAATCAGTCTGAAAGTATTTTCTAAATGTATTCAGAAGTACCAGCATTTGCTTGTAAATGTATTTTAAATACAGAGGAGAATTACAAGTAAATATATATTTTTTTACAATAGCTGACTTGTGATTTCATTATGCGACATTTATTTTCAGTAGTTGCAAGTACTGAAACATAATTAATACAAAATAGTGAAAAGAAATAAAAATGTGAGAGTGTGGTTATCACGGTCAAGTAAACTTGAAGGTTAAGGAAATATATGTTAATAGTCTGATTTGAGTCATCATAAGCAGGACACCCTTGGGGATTAGAGGCTACTAGGTGACAATGTCAGCAGTATAAATGACAAGAATATAGGAACCCCGTTCATAGCTGCAAAAAAAAAATAATTTCTGGGTTTACAAAGAATTTGAGGAGTGGCTGTGGTTTTTTGCAGATCCGCCACCTGTGCAACTGATTGTTCAGTTCTTGGAACAAGCTTCAAAACCATCAGTGAATGAACAAAACCAAGTCCAGCCACCACCTGATAACAAAAGAAACCGCATTTTAAAACTTCTCGCTCTCAAAGTTGCTGCTCATCTGAAGTGGGATTTGGATGTATTAGAGAAAAGGTATAGTCTGTGCATTTTCATGCTGAAATTAGTGAATTGAAGTGGCTTGAAATCTTTATTTTAACAAACAGAAATCTGTCTTGTCTTTTCTGACAGTATCTTCCTTACATTAAGAAGAATCTTGGGTGCAACAATTGAAATAATTTGATTTCACCTGTAGATTAGGAAAGGGGTTTGATAAAGGCAGTGTCTCTGAGCAAATCAATATTGTTTATAATTTAGAGAGAAAAAATAATGTGTCTTAGACATTAAGATGTATATATGTAAACTGCATAAATATGAATTGGAGGTTATGTTTTCTTCGCTGACAAAGCTTCCTCATTCTGACATGCTTGAATTTAGAGGTCTTGCTCCAGTTTTGTTGAAGAACTCCATATATTTGCAAACTAGATCACTGAACTAACTGTGGTTTAAATAGACAAACTCCACCTTTGGATTTTTTTAACCCAAATAATGTCATCTGCAGAATGGTCTGATGAGCTAGAACAGTTAGGAACTACTTCATTCTGGCAGTGCTAAGCACATCAGGGAGCTGTGCTTCACAGAATCACAGAATGGGTCAGGTTGGAAGGGACCACAGTGGGTCATCTGGTCCAACCTCCCTGCTCATGCAGGGTCATCTTAGGGCGCATGGCACAGGATTGTGTCCACATGGTTCTTGAATATTTCCAGTGAGGGAGACTCCGCAGCCTCTCTGAACAGTCTTTTACAGTGCACGGTCACCCACACAGTAAAGAAGTTCCTTCTCATATTTAGGTGGAACTCCCTGTGCGTCAATTTCTGCCCATTGCTACTTGTCCTATTGCTTGGCACTACCCAGAAGAGCCTGGCTCCATCTTCTTGACACCCTCTCTTCAGATACTTACAGACATTGATGAGTCTTTTCTTAGGGCTGAACAGGCCTAACTCTCTCAGCCTCTCCTCGTAAGAGAGATGCTCCGGTCCCTTCATCATCTTTGTTGCTCTCTGCTGGACCTGCTCCAAGAACTCCGTGTCTCTCATGTACTGAGAAGCTCAGAACTGGACACTGCTCCAGATGTGGTCTTGTTACTGATGTATTTGAAGAAGTCCTTGACATCCTTGGCCATATTTAATTCCAGATGGGCCTTGACCTTCCTTGTCTCATTTCTGCTTACTCTGACAACCTCTCTGTATTAATTCCAGATTGTCTGACACTGCCTCCATCTCTTGTGTATTTCCTGCTTACGCTTGAGTAATGGCAGGGTTCTTTATTTATCTATACAGGTCTCTTGTCCCCTTTGCCTGCAATGTAATGTAAAATCTTATGGGGGCAATGCTTTCCCCAGTTCTAACTTGCATAGGTTGTAGGATCATTTAGACTGAAAAAGAGTTTTAAGACTATCAAGTCCAGCCGTTAACCTGACAATGCCAAGTCCACCACTAAATCATATCCCTAAGTGACACATCTACATGTCATTTAAATACCTTCAGGGTATGATGGTGACTCAACCGCTTCCCTGGGTAGCCTATTCCAATGGCTGACAACCCTTTTGGTAAAGAAATTTTTCCTAATATCCGATCTAAACCTCCCATGGCACAACTTGACGCCATTTCCTCTTGTCTCTTGCTACTTGGGGGAAGAGACTGACCACCCCCTTGCTACAGCCTCCTTTCAAGTAGTTGTAAAGAGTGATAAGGTTCCCCCGAGCCTTCTCTTCTCCAGGCTAAACTCCCCCAGCTCCTTCAGCTGCTCCTCATAGAACTTGTGCTCCAGACCCTTCCCCAGCTCCGTTGCCCTTCTCTGGACTTACTCCAGCACCTCAATGTCCTTCGTGTAGGGAGGAGCCCAGAACTGGACACAGCACTCAAGGTGTGGCCTCACCAGTGCTGAGTACAGGGGGATAGTCATTGCCCT